TTTAACAGGAGAGAGACAAAAACTATGTGTATGTAGACAACGTCTTTTTAAAAAAAGATGAAACCATAATGATTGAATAATGAAAGTTATGCGAATACAATCTCAAGTAACTAATTCTATTACGAATTGACCCATTTCGCGAATATCAAATTAGAATTGTACAACCACGACTTTCCACATATCTTAATCTATAGATACAGCTTCCAATCTAAAAAATATTACTATCAATAACAATCATGGAGAACATAAACCACTAATTACTCCATCGCAATACATTATTTCTTCTAATATATCTCCAAACATGCATAATTCCATTGAATAGTTTCTGATAAACAACAAAATCAAACTGAGTTGATTTCCCGAAATTCTTCTTACCAAAGGATTTCGGGAAACTCGCCAAACTAGAGGATTTGCAAAAAGTAATTCAATCCCTTATCATTGTTTATAAGAAAATTCAATGTAGTATCTTTGTGACTTGTGATAAATTAAGTTATTTTAGATGGCGAGGTCACACAGCTAATTTCCGAAAAGTACACATGTATCAAATCATAAGTGCAAAGTCGAAAATGTGGTATTTATAAGAAAAATGAGCGTCTTCGCCGATTTCAATAATTCTGAAATATGTTGCATTCCCTTACTCAGTTCTACAGGTAACTTAGTATTAAGAACTATTTCAAAATCAAGATAGTATCTCTCATCGAGGATTCATTTATAAACTAATACTGATATCTTTCTTTAAAACGAACTTATCATTTATGAAAGCAGAGTTTGAATTAAATTTTTGGCCACTAGATTTTTGACCGCCACCAAGTCCGATTAATAGAATACAGATATACCTAAAAATATTTTCAATGTTAAATTTTATAGATTATATTTGGTTTAGATTCCGCCAGAGCGGCTGAAATGGGACAATCTACCCTAGAATTTTAAAATTCTTAGTCCTTAATTAAAGTTTGAGTTAGATTTGGATTTTATGAAATTTTAATTATTCTTACTCATTTCTTCTACGAAATATCTTGTCTGTGGCTATTTGAAAACGACAACTTGTAACAGAAACGTAGACGAAAATGATGAACTACAGGCTTTGTTAAATAATTGAAGCTGCTGACATAATACTTTCCCATCAAAGTAGTTTGGCATCAGTATGATCTATAATATTATGGACCAGTGAATAAATGTGGAATCATTGTAATAAACTGATTAATAAACAACACAAATTTAATATCAATGAAAATTATTGCAAAAGGCTATGACATGTAAGAAACAACTAATTACAATGGAAAATTTTGGAAAAAGGAGTTTTCTCTTCGAAAAAATTCTTGTACTTGTAAAAAACTAGCTTAAAATAAAAAATATAAGACATACATCAGTCATTAGTGACGTAAAAGAATATTAATTACAAATAATTATTTAACCTGGAATGAATAAAGCAAAAACGAATGTTTTTCATTACAAATAATTATTTAACCTGGAATAAATAAAGCAAACGAACGTTCTTAATACTACACGATGTATAAAAGGATAATCAAGTTCTGTTACATTATTTTGAAATACACACACGTATATTCAAAGTTGGTTCATTTCAGAGCCACGATGTTGTACAAAATTCAAGTAAGAAATATTGGTAATATACATTAAGTATGATATTGTAAACTTTTAAATTTAATAATTTAATAAAATGTATTTGAAATAAAAAATACGTCTTGACGTAATCAAAAGGCTATTATTTAAAAATATAAACTAGACCTTCATTAAGAACTCATCGTTACTCGTCAAAGTCAAACATTGTCAAAAATTGTCAATTCAAATCTTTCGTATTTTTCATATTTACGTGCAGACCATTATTGTCCGTTTTTGATCCATTATTGTCTTGGCAAACGATAATTGATAGTTACTTAATTCGTTACTGTTTAATATAAGAATAATACTTGAGTAACATACACGATGTGTCATTCTCTTAAAATGGAAAAAAATTAGGATATTAATAAAAATTTTCTTACCAAAATTTTTTGATACAGAGAGCGTATTATGCGATGTTGGTGATACTTTTCCGAATTTCAAGTGAAGATTTCAAGTTGATCTTTCTAATGACCTTACATAATTTCGAATGCACTAACTTATCTGATTATTCTCTATAAAAGAGTACTGATTTATCTGTCGAAAAAACATCGGTTTTCGAAATATTTTCTTTTTAATTTTGTGGATATTATCAAGGATAGGGAAAAATATATGCGTACTAGCACTATGTTAATGGTTCCTCTATTTTTTACGCGATAAACCTATATATATATATATATATATATGCTTTATATAAGCAAATATACATATAAATGTTAGCGTAAGAATATTGAACGTTCTTGCACTCTGAATCATGGTTTAGTTTATATTTCTGTTGGACATTTTTTTTAATGTTTACTAGATCAGAGCTTAGAAGCATCGTGTAAGTCAACGGTCTTGTTTGTTATGTTTATTGTTCTCTATAAACGGTTGGCATTGATCGTTTTATCGATGATTTATTTCATCAATTTTAGATGAGCTACAGTAGAGCAATTAAACGGGTTATTCTTTAAATCTGATTGATTAAAGCGAACTAGCCTGTTCTAACAAAACGGGCTCACGGGCGGCCACGCAGCAGAATCGTTGTAATTTTCACCGAACAAACGTTCAAACAAACAAACAAATCTTCAGTGAATCGGAATCTTTACAATTTCCGCGACGGAAAAAAACGTTACAAAAACGTTTTCAACGAAGAAAAATCTCTATAATTTCAACGAGTAATTATTATGTAAAAAATTTGCGTATTTTTCCACGAAGTAATCTCATTTACAAGTAAAATTCATCACTCGATTAGACAAGACAGTTCGCTATTTATTTTTGTTAGAATATAATTGCCAATCTATACTTGCACATGTTAATCATGTAAAAGTGTGAGAGTTGTATATGTATGTTGGTGTGGGTGATGACGACATTCAAGTACTTACTTTGTATATATTATACGGTATGTACAACGAAGTTCCTAGATAGAATAAACCTAGTGAACAATAAACAAGTGTGTATAAAAACTAAAATTTAATTAAGACGTTATTAAAATTACCCTAAGAACTAATATTAAAACTAAATTGCTATAAACTAATAAATTCCAACAATTTTTGTGAAGTTAAACTCATCTTTGAATACTCAGACGCTACACTGGATAACCTGTCCAGCCACGCTTATAAGCTGCAACAAAAAGAACGAAATAACTCGTAGTTAGTTAAACGCGAATCACCCACGTGATTATGAACAAAAAATTTATTTTGTGTTACGTGTTGTTAATCATATGAGTTTTCTCTTTAGGACAGCGTGAGGCAAATGAAATTTCTGATGTATTCATTAACAACCATAATTTAGCTTCTGTAAGTAAATTTTTTGATAATTATGTCATCACTTTCTCGCTATCCCTAAGCAGAGTTTATAATTTTTTAAAAAGCAATTGTAAGAAACATTATTTACAGGTATTATTGAAACTATTATTGTAGAAATCATTCATAATATAGTAATTTTCTTAAAATTTTGACATTTTAATTAATTTAATTAGTTTTATTTATTTCTGTATATTTATTTTTATTCCTGGACTAACTAAAGTCATGTACATATACATATATATATATATATATATATATATATATATATATCGCGTGCCGTGAAATTATTAATATAATTCCCAGTTGAAGTGAATGCGAAATAAATGCATATTGAAATGAATGCGAGCATTTTTTAGACAGAGGTTACATAAAAGGCAGGATACGTAGCGGAAACTTACAAAGTTGTCACACAAGATGAATGTACCTTTAAATTGTTCGATTACGTGGCTTGCGGCTTATATCTATTCACTGCTCTTGTTAAATATAATCCTATTTTATTAAATTTTTTCACTATTTTTATTTTCAAATTGACACCATTGATTTCGATAAAAAATGACAGAATAATTGATCAATTATTTTTCTCAAATTTTAGGCTATATATTAGCAAACTAGGGATACGACGTATCACTGGGTAATATGGGCGGCAACAGATACTCGCGGATGCACTTGAATCCGACCACTTCAGACCCAGAATTTTGGATGTTCAGGTACAGACGAAATAACTATTCATCAAGATTTATCCCCAAAAGTCAAGTCATTTTATATTGACAGTAATTGATCCGTTTTATAGTTGGCATAAAAATATACAATGGCGGAATATACGATCTCGCAATGATAATCGATCACATTATCTAGCAAAGCAGAAAAAGATCAGATGATCAGATGATTAAAAGATGGTAGTCATAACCAGGGTGGTATTATGTTTTTTTTTTTATGGCTACTAATGACAAAAGAGAAAATTATCGCTCTTTCTCCTTTAGCCCCAGCAGTCTTCGCACCTAGAACAGAAAGTTCTCTTATCCATGTATCGTGCCTTGCAGCGGACATATATCACAGCGTACGCTCGAAAAGTTAATTTTAATTATTAAAGTTATTAATTAAGAAAATTTTCAATTTTATGATATTAATTTCCAAAATGGCTAATTAAATGAAACTATTAATTTTAATACCAAGCGAAACAACAATAATATTTTTGCATCTTTTGATCTTTCTACAGTTGATGGTTAATTTATTCGGCATATATCAATTTAAATCACTTGGCATACTTCTACGCTTGTACAAATGTAATATGTGCTGAACAATCATTTCTATTACCAGTGTATGGAGGCATCTTTAACCTATTATTCGACCGAAATCTTATTGATGTAATCAGACGCAAATAATAGTGCATTAACTAATAATAACAGATTCCAATTTTCAGCTAGACTTGATTTGAACTAATAGAATACGTTGTATCTTCTGTAGCAATATAATCCTGGTGCATCTATTAGACAATTCGCACATTATGGACAGTTGTTTGAATCAGGGTAATATTTAATAATCAAACATACAGGTAAATAGAAATTTATCTTACGATGCGTTCTCTTTTTTCACAGACAAGTTCCGAAAATTTGAATATGGCCTTGCCGATAACATACGAAAGTATGGCGAGACACATTCTCCAGATTATAATCTCGGCAATGTTTCGTTACCAGTGTACTATAGCACCAATGATGTAGTCGATGCTCGGGTTTGTATAAATGTGCTCGGATATAATCGAGTTTTCAATCTTTTCTCCCCTGTCAATGGTCTTACAGGATGTTCAGAAGTTGTACGAAACACTACCCAATGGTCAAAAATCTTTGATACAATCCGACAATTTCGCGCATCTTGGTTTCCTGTGGGGAAATGTAAACTTTGATATACAATAAAATTCTGAATTTCATGAAACAGCATAGAAAGTAAAGTATTATTATTACTTTGTGTAAGTAATTTATGATTGATGCTCGCTTTTGTGTTTTTTTATTAGAATGTTGTTATTAATTTTTGTTTTAACAAAGTTGTAAGTGAACATGTGTTTCCTCTTGTCGCTCTTTCATTACAATTTCCTACCCAATATATTGTACAGGAATATATATTATACGTTTCTAATATATTGTATAACAATTTTTATTAACATCTCTTGAAGAGTAATAAGTATTCGAAAATTTCGTATTTAACGTCCTCTAATCTCTCCTCTCTAATAACTCAAATATTCCTATCGATCCGCCACTGAAAAGTTTCAGGACTAGAAATAAGCCAACTTGAAAATATTTTTGGAGTGCAGTTGTTACGGTGTTTTTCATTCGTATAATTTCTTCTGTCCAAAATGACTTGAAATCTGCTGTAAATGTGTATCTGCAGCAAGTTTCACTTCTTCTATATATATACAAGTCTATAGATGAAAATCACAGAAATATCCAATCTATCGGCGATAAACGATAACTTTTCGAAGACTTCTTAATATATTTTGTAACAAATTTTCTCTTTTTCATTCGTAACTGCCATTCGATGATTTTACACAACTTTTTCTGATAAATAAATAAGGAGTTTTAAATTTTTAATAAATTTTTTAGGTAACATATTGTTATTTAAAGTACATAATACATGATGTTTCACGAAAGCCAGGCTACCAGTATCTTCTTTATTAGTAATAGTACGAAAATGGTTCCTGGTGTAACTTTAATTGGTTGATGATAATAAGATGGAAGAATTATTTTCTTCTAAAATATCATTTTTAAATATATTTTTTTAAAGTCATTGGCATTTTTTGTACAGGAAATGTGTATTTTTTTCCTATTCTATTAGCTCATAAAAAAATGCATTCCGTTATTTGGGAATCCACAGTAAGGATTGTCGCGTTTTCATTATAAGTTGTGTACTACTGTTGCGGCACTTTTTTTTTTTTTTGCTTGTGGTTGATTTATTTGCAGTACCTAGCTTTAATTTTTAACCTTTAAACGTGCATATAAATGATAAAACTAGGTAACTAGATGTGTTATGAAGGAATAGCGTGTTTTCATGTTTATGTGGAAGCAGTTATGAAACATTTCGAAAAAACCTGCATATATTTAATTTCTTCGTTGGGTGCTAACTCTGTTCTTTTATGTTATAACAATCACGTGTTTTGATAGTCTTTTCTTGATTTTCAGTGGGATGTCGTTGACGTTGTAATTTTCTGTTTGGCTTATCAGTGGATTGTGATGTTTTGGATGATAGGCGGTTTTAAATTAGTGTGTAATATAGTCCTAAATTATTTGTGTGTTTGCTAACTTGTGAAGTACGCTGATGGGTGTGTCGCACAATTTATGAAAGATGATGCGTAGGAATTTATTTTGAATTTGTTTCTTGCAGGTGCCCAGATTTTGTGGCCATATGTTATTATTGACGCATGTTTTGCATAGGTTTAGTTTAATATTGGTTTTGAGTTTGCTGTTTCTAGAAAGTAGCGGGTATACTCTTTTGAGGACGAGGTAGGCCAAATTCATTTGTTTGATTCTCGCAGGTTTCCAAATGATTTTTGCGTCTAGAAATACGCCAAGAAATACTTGACCGTGGCAGACCAGAGGATATGTCCTTGGTAACTTGATCTATGGACTTGGACTTCTTGCTTGTGAAAGCGATGGCTTGCGCTTTGACGGAGTTGATTTTAAGTTTCCAGTTTGAGAAGTAGTCTTGAAGTTCGTTAAGATGTGCTCGAATGTACTTTGTTGCATTTTTGTGACTTCATGTTGAGACCAAAACGCCAGTATCGTCTGTGTATACAACTAAGTGAGAATTTTGGGAAGTTGGGAATGTCGTTTGTATAAATAATGATTAGCAACGGGGGTAAGAAACCTCGCAATGACACTTTTGGCGGTTCAGGTAGTACCGTTTACTGAAATGTACAAAATCCTATTTTGCAGGTAACTGGCTATCTGAGGAGCGTAGAGTATTCTTTGCACTTTAACTAGGAGGGCGCTGTGCCAGACTAAGTTAAAGGCTTTTTCTAGGTCTAAAAGGATAAATTAGAGTTAACCTGTTTTTGTCTATCTGTAGGGTGATATGTTCCACCGATAATTTTTTCCAATAATTTATTGATGGTACTTAGGAGGCTGACTGGTCTATAGTTATTGACTGCTATTGCGAGTGTCCCACGCTTAAGGACTGGAATTACCATCGCGGTTGTCCACGCTGTGGGAAAATAGAAAAGTTTAAGGCAGAATTTAAAAATGTAATGTATTTTTACTTTTATAGAAATTTTAATAAATTTTCGAGAAGTTTAGATTAATTACAATAATATGATAATTATTGCTTTATTATAATTTATTGTTTTATTTATGTACGTATTAAGTTTAAAATAGTTTAAATGTATTTAATTTTAAAGAAAATGTTGAAATGTTAAATTTCTTTATAATCGAGTAATATAGTGAACAATAATGGAATTCGCCGCACGTGTCTGGTATCATGTAACAGTTGACGCTCGTACCCATTCATTCTCTCGATGCCAATTCAAGAAATACCATCCCTTTTAACTGTCCACTTTCGGTCCTTGGACAGTTATGAAGGGACTACAGTATTTCAATTGCAGGTTGCAGGTTGCAGTGTATCTTCTGTGGGAACTTCTATTAATACTCCGTCTCTTGGTTTATTGCGAATGGTTGGTGGTCCGTCTTGTCTATATACTTTGTAGTTAGGAATTTTGAAGATGTCTTTTAGGATGAGCCAGGATTCGGTGATGATTGCAATGTTAGTGCTGTGGTCTATTAGAAATTTGTGAAGTTCAACGTTATGACTTGTTCAACCTTTCAACGCTGGTGGCGTTCCATAAAATAATATTAATGAGGTTCCTATGGCTGTCCATAGTTCTTTCTCTATTAAGATCGTTGCTCGGACTCTTTCTGGGTTATTGGTGCATTTCGTGTAATGTTTTTGTATGAGCGCTATGATTCTCAGGAACTAGTCCAGCTGTTTTAATATCGTCTATTTGGTTACAGAGATTTATGTTGATCGGGTCGAATTTTGTTGAGGTGTGTGAAGGGGTAGGTAGTGGAGATTTTGTTAAGAATAAGGTACGGGAAGCGTGTTGGGCTTGGAGGTGTATATTTGGGAAAAGTTACTGCGCGTTTAGGCTCTTTTTTGCTGGCGATCTTTTTGAAAAGCTAGTAGATCAGGAAATAGTTTACCAGGTGGGTGTCTTGGCGCATGCCAAGAGAGTTCCTGGAGATTTGTTGCAGAAAATGGTTTCATGCTGTTTTGCGCATTTGAAGCAGACTACTTTCATTATTTTTTAGTACAATTGGATACGTGTGACCGTGCGCATGATAGCGGAAACACTGACTGGTTGGTTTATGGGATTCATATTTTTCCCAATATATCTTGATATTCTAATCGAATCTAACGTGTTTGAGCAAATATGGTCTCGGACGCAAAAGTAACTCTATATATAGAATATTTAGTGTGTGTCGGAATTTCAACACAGTGTGTGAGATTGAAACCCTGGCTTTCAATACTTCCGTATATTCAGAATTCTGGAATTCGTATCAAAATCCTTCGAGCACTACAGTGAAAGTTTTTTTCGAGGTTACCGTGTAAGTGTGAAATTCGATCCTTAATAAAGATTATTCTTATCCTTAATACAGATGGACTTAAACTCAGCAAAGTCTCTAAGGTTTGCAAACATTATTTTGTCGGAAGTGAATTTGACTTGTAAGGCATTCTGATATTTGGATTTGAATGCATCAAGGAGTTTGAGATGATCTATTTTTCTGTGAATATACATTGGTGGAAGTTTGGCAGTTTGGAATTTTTTTGGCAGGAGGGATTTCGATTTTTGCATTTGTTTAAGGTTTATTTATTATTTTGGAGACTTGAATCTTTTTCGTTAATAAGGCAGTCAGCAGAAATGTTGTACTTGTTTTTAGTTTATATGGCCAAATTTACGATGTCCATATTTTCTGTTCGGTCGACTTTGGTGACGGGTGGAAAGTCGGATAGTGACGTTGATCGTTTTCTAATGGTAATCGTTTTAACTTGGTTTTCTTTTTTTCTTTGTGCTATGGTCCAATGTGTGGGTTTGTCTGTTGGACGTGCAGGCCAGGCTGGAGGTTGTATCGTCTGTCATACTGCCTCAGCCTGTTGTCCTTCCTGGCGGCTAGATTCAGTTATCATTTTTGTATCACTCTAAGTGTAGAAACACTATTGAATCACTGTAAGTTTTCGTGCTTTCTCAGTGGTCTGTGCAGGCGAATCACTTCTCGTATCTGCTCTTATATAACGCCAACTCTCTTTTTGTGTCTTTCCCGATTACATTTTGTGGCATCGTTGGCAAGGGATAGTTTCATAAAATAATTCTCGCAAAGACATCGTCAAAGGTAATCTCTTCTATTAGCTTGAAATCCTGATTAGTACATCGAAATTTATCAATATTTTATAATGGAATACTCAATGCAAGAAAAAATAGATATGATATTCATGGTAAAAATGACTACTGTCATTCTCAAGAGAGAAGTACAAAGATATCCGAGTGTATAAAAATATATTTCCTAATTATATGCATTTTTTTCACTGCATCGTGTGCATAAACGAATATCATATTGATCCTTTTTTGCGTTGGGTATTCCATTATGAATTACTGACAAATGTCGATACATTAATCAAAATTTCAAGTTATTAGAAAAGATTATCACTGGTGATGTAATAAATAGTAAAATCTTTACTTATATTTACTATAAGAATCTTTATTTTCGCGTCTTGGCCAAAGTTTGTGTTCCCGATAGAGATAAATTTATACGTGAAACTTGAATTTTCAAGGTCAAGTATTTTACATATATGAACATATTTTTCATCAACTATACGATGCAATAAAAAAATTTTTACAATTATATAATTATATGAAAAAAACATTAATGACCTTGAAAAGTTTTTCAGAAGGAATATATATACCAGTTATTGACTTTTACATACAATTCACGTTAGGTAAAAAATATTTTTTATATCATCACAATTCGCAATGGACCACCCTGTATATATA